CGGAAGATAATATGCAAATTCCCACAGAATTTGCGTATGCTCTTTCGAAACTTCAGCGTAGTTTAGACGAGCCTATAGAAACCTGTATCTTAAGGCATTCAGGCCTTTATAACCTAGATTTGCCATGATTGTTGAGAGAGCCATACACTATCTTTGAATGTCATTATAGTGTACTGTGTCAGCACTTTGTATTACAAATACTTGCCAGTACGGAGGCTTTTCACATAATTCTAGATAGAATAGTTCACATCATCAGTGCACAGTACACAGCTAAGCTGGAAGGTACATTACATTAATGAATCAGCTGGCTATTTTTGGTCAGTGGATCTGGAAATTCTGAGCTGATTCTGAACTTCTACAGTGTTTTAGAGGGTTCAGATTTGATGTTCTGGCTTGGATTCATGATAGAGATATGATCTGAGCTGCAAAGTACAATTTGAGATCAATGTTGTCCCAAAGTTTAAATAGGGACTTAAATCTGATGACCCAGTTCAGGTCCACCTTTAGCACTCCCTTGAAATGTCTAATCTTTTCTTTTTTATATTATGTTTATTTATAAAATTAAAAGATAAATTAATTAGACAAATACAACCAGACTAAATCAAGGGTAAAATTCTAACTGAAACTGAGAAAAACAAGGAAATCTACCTTTACATCACCAGATTTCATCCAGGTTCTGCATATAACTATATGTTATGATCTGTCATATAATTAGAGCTGCCTGTGATAAGTACAATGGATGCAACCTTTTAAATTAGTAGAATGTGTCAGAACATCGCTTAGGATTTTAAAATTTCTCAGCACCTCATATCATATATATTTTATAAAAAAGTGGTTAATACTTCAAATATACATGTACGGTGAAAAGTGATTTGAAATTAACATAGCAACAACCTTTGTGTACGAAGTTCATCATGTAATAGACTAATAACATATGAATGTACTATCCTAATATAGGTATTCACAATATAGAGAGTAAATTCTTTATCTATCAGTCAAAAATAGATATGTAACATTTTGGGAATATAATGAATGGTGTCAAAAATTAAAAGAAAAATCAGATCCACAAGAGCTTAAGAAGACATAAAACGAGGCAGTTAGTTACACTCACTGAATTGCAATAACAACAACAATAATTATGACGACGATGATGTTGATGATGATGATGATAATACAAAGGCAGATACTCAGATGCAATGCACTATTGCCAGGTCGATTTTCAGTTACATTTCACTGATGTATTCATTTGTTTCTTAATGTGCTCATCTTGCCCATTAAGAATAATTAGCAGGCTTGCTTGGTGATTTCCTGGTTTCTGACAGTGATTTTTTTTCTTTTTGTTGACAACCACTTTTACTTTTTGGAAAGTAATATTTGGATGCTAGAGTATGACTGCCATGTAATTTAAACCTCCTAAGAAATGTAAAGGGAAGATATAAACAGTAATTTTTAAAATAAGGTTTTTTAAATCCATAATTTCTCAGTAATAAAGCAGAACAGTAGGGATAGCCTATTCCTGAGGAGCAGAATCAAGAAAAGGAAACAATATCTTAGCAATATCAATATAATTTGGTACAATAATTTACTAAAATGTACCAAAACTATCCACAAATTATTATAAATAAATCATTATTTTTTGTAATTTGGGACATTTGGGGTAAGGTTTTATTCTCAATTTCTCCAATAGAAATCCCCTGATTTCAGTGGTGTTGGCAAGGAAATAACAGATCAGAATTAGGTCTATGCTTGTTTTATAGTTAGTTACTATAGCAAAGAATGCAAAAATAAAATTATCATAAGATAGAACATAAAACTACCAAAGAAGTCCATTACAATACATAAAACGTAACAAATTTTATTATACGCTCTTAAGAGCACATTCACCTACACTGTAAAATTTTTAATCTAGCACCCTGCTACAGTAAATCCATTGTGCAATGCACTACAATACAAGCTCTTTGAACCCTGAGAACCACAGTGCCAAACATTTTAAAAAAGGAAGGGGGAATATTTTTTGAAGCTTTTAGTAAACACTTCTCTGAAAAGACAACAGAATCAGTACAGACTTTAAGATTTGTAGGATTTTAGGAAATATAAGGATACAATTTCATTAATTAGGTGATATTAACTGTTATCCTTTTGAAGAACAAAATACTTTAATTATTTAATTAAATGCAATGGGTGAATGTTTTTAACATGTATCAGTTGAAACTCTTGATGCAGAAGACTTTCAATTTCATAGAAGTTCAGATGTGCTTACAGGATTTGTTAAATGAGATATTTGCTGATGTGATAAAACCAAACTGAAACTCTTTATGGTAAAAGGTCATTTTTGTCAAACATCAACTTACTTTGCTATGTTGATTTTGAAACCTCATATTTTTTATTTCCACAATAACACGTGGCTAGAAGTGTATCAAATATAGTTACATGAAACTACACAGGACAGTAAAACAGCTCAGCATCAAGTCACTAACATAAACATTTAGAATTTAAAAAAAATGTCAGAATCATAAGTAAAGCCCTGTGTTTTTGAGAAAAAGAGCATTTTTATGCAGCATTTTTTAAGTTGTAAAGGAAATGATTTGTGATTGGCTGTTATTCTCCATGAAATTGTTGAAGTGTTTTAGGCAATTACAGCTGACTGAGTTACCTCTGAAAATATAAGTGTTTCTAGAGGCTGCTAGATAATTTCTTGTACTTCCATGTCTCCTGTCTTAAAAATCTTACATAATTGAAAATTTCATTTTTAAATCATCCACAACAGAGTTTCACTTACTGAAAAAATAAGTCCTCGTTATGTTAATATTCACACACAAACAAATCATAAATCTGAATCGTGGCATTGTAGTGGCAAAAAACTGAACAACTGAAAATGCAAATTTAAAGATCACAAAGGAAAAAAAACACAGAGATACCTTCCACTTTTCCCTCTCACAAGGGTATTAATATTCACAATATTCATCACTTCCTGTACTATTGTAGTTATTTAATGTGGCCACAAATCATGCTCACTCACTCACTTAACCAAAGGACATTTCAATTTTCTGAATTCTGGGTTCATATTAGTATGGATTAATAGTGATTGACTGTAATATAATATAAGAAATATAATAAAATACTACACAGAGAAGGGAGTGGTTTTATATCCCTTCATAAAAAATAAATAATGCCAAACCAATAATTGATTAAATAGAGTATGTGGATAATTTATAGGTAGTTGTAAGTTAGTCATAACAATGGTACTGTGCATGTAATAGTATATACTCTTTAGTGAACATTATAAAATCACTTCTATATTGGACATCTTATACATGGTTAATACATGAAAGCGGGTTTAATATGAAAAAATTATTAAAAAGAAAACATGTCAAGAGGGAGTGAATTATTTGGTTTACTGCTGTACTTCCTATAACACAGAGCATAAAAAAATGGAATCACCATTAGACAATTATAAATATCACTGTACTTGCTGCTTTCTTCCTACCAACATGTACTCTTTTTATCTAAGAAGAAAGCGTGAATTTATAACGGAAAATTTTAGTCCCATTCAAGAAACGTTATATGTTCTGGGGTTTTTTAATTACTCACGGTGGAGGTTTTGTTTTTTGTTTTTTTTACATATACCACATACTGTCTTTCTTTACATCAATTGTTACCTAGCGGTAAAAAGGAATGAGCACAACAAACCAGTTTTCTATCTGAATAAGGATACTTTTGATGGCCTTTTCATTTCCATCAGTTAACAGAACTTCTTTGACATCTGCAGAAATAGCAACCTGAAAAAAGAGCACAGCAAACAATGAGCAAATATGCTTGTCTGTGTGGAAGTGAAGACAGGAGTGACAAGCCTTCAGTATCATGCTTCCTCACCTATTTCTCTGTAACAATCTTCAATCTTTTTTCATTTTATGTCTGCATTATTTTAATCATTCAATCAAATCAGTCAATACTTTTATCATTCCATTTGCGGGAGCCTCTATCTTGCTATCATTCTGTTCCGTAATTGCATTGTGACAGCGGATGATGGTATTCTGAGAGGCTTTCATTTGCGGGCTTCTGTTTATCTAGTAGAGCCATCATACAAGGCTGTCACTCTGCCTTTCAGCTTGCTTCTGTCTGACTGCCTGATGCCCTTCATATAACTTTGCATTGCAGGCAGATGGCTTTGTAAGGGTAATTTTTTTGTGAGCTTTGACATGCTCGCACATTGGGCTGTAACCTCGACACATTGTATAAGAGCGACAGGTTTGTCAAATGCCAATCAGTGTAACAATATGCTTTTATTTGTAGAGACATAAAAACTTGTCTAATGCACTGCACTGCTACATAATATCTCCTGAATACATGACTCAGAACCCAGAGAATGGTGAACGACGCTCCTGAATGGCCAATCTAATTCAAAAGAATCTAATTACTGAGAGCTCTGGATCATGTTTGTTGGTGTAATAATGCAGGCAAAACATTAGCAGCTATATCATGGTGCTCCAACTGTGATTCACCAGGCTATTCCTGTATCTTCGCAAATGGGACTATAATCTGAAAAAAAAAATGCTTCAGCTATGGCAATGAAAGACAGACTGTACGTGGCCTGGAATGTCACAACAAGAGATATTGACTACACTGAGGTAAAATGTTTCTGCTCATCGAGGCAACCATAAAATCAATATGATACGAAAGCAAGTCAATCTAGAAGGTCTCCCAAGACTTTGCAGCTTGACCGCAGCTGATGCTGTTGACAGTTCTCTGACCCAGCAGTTGGAGGCACTGGAACATTTTTTCTTTTGTTCCTCTCTCTGAATGGGATTGGAATTGAGAAAAGACCTACCATGAGCCCAGCCAAGCATGTCATGCCACCCCCTAGCTCACACACAGCAAGATCCCTGAAAGAGAGAAAGGAAATGGTAGAACCCATACAAATTAGATGAAAATGGTCAGAGAGACATATATGTTACAAGAACAAATTGCCATCTGCAGTGTGAACTGAGCTACCAGGAAGTTGTAGAGACACGACTAGGCTACCTCATGTCGTTTGCGTTTTAAAAATAATTATGAAATAGAAAAGTCACAAAGCAGGCAAATCAGTAGGGGTTCCCTCATTAGTGTTCAGTGCAACATTACCACCGCTGAGCTGAAAAATCTGAGAAGGTTCCCTTTTTTCCCCTTGTCAATGGCGCTGTCTTTTAGAACTAAACTAGCTAGAGTAGCGAAAGATAATTGTTAGGAAAGGATAACATTGTTAATCCACATTCATTCTTTCAAAAACAGTTAGACAAGTAAATGGGGAAATGAATATTATTTATATCTTTATTTATATATAGGCACATCTATATCTAGAAAATTATTTATATTTTGGAAAAAAATACAGCTTTGAAAACAAGCCATATACCTTACATGTGCAGTATTTAGATTTCTCAAGTAGCACTTACATTGCAAGTGATATACAAACAATACTCTTAGAAACAACACTGGAACAATGTACAGTTAAATCATTGAAAACTAAGGAAAGGTAATGTCAAGAGCCTAATCTGCACCCAGGAAAGCAAGAGAGCTCAGCCTTATTAAGGCTGAATACCGTCTGTGACGTGCTGTTCTTAACTTAGCCCATTGTGCACCAGCATTAGCAATAATAACATATGTGCTATCTATATGGATGAAATGTACTTTTGTGTGGAGAACCTGCATGGTGGGAGCTGCATGGGGGGACCCATCAATAGAATGTTCACATTAGCACTGTCTTCTCATTGATGGCATGCTGTGGAGGGTGACTGTGTGCTAACATCACCTAAGCCAGTGGTGAGGGTGGGATCATTGTATTTCTAATTACACCTACGGCAAGAGGTTATAGATGATATAAAATTTACCATCAAAACATTTTTTGACAATTACATTTCCAAATTAAAGGATATTTTTGTTGAAAAAAAGAAAAAACCTGAAAAATTTTGATGAAAACAACAAAAAGAAATTTGCTTTATTTCAATTTTTTTGGGGGAAAAATAATTTTCAATAGACTACAAATGGTAGTTAGGGGCAATGTCCACTAGTTCAGCCTACATATATTTCTCTGTTGAATCCTCACTCACTGACACCCTACCTGGGAATAGGGTGGATTTGTTTCCCTTAGACCCTGCATACTTCACTTACATAAAGTCCTCTGGTTTTATGGAAATGATGTAGACATCACTGTCTTACACACTTTGGAGCCAAACAATGCCTAAGCACAATAAGGAGAACTAAAAATAGAGAGGTCTATATCTAATATTCTGAATTTATTTGTATTTTATGGTTTCAATAAAATCTTACAAAATATTTTAATCTTATACAATTATTTTCCCACATTGTTTTTTCTTTCACGTTAGGGGTTTTTAAAATAGGTAGTGTTTAATGAAAATCTTATAATTTGCATTTCACATTTAATATTAAATACAACATGTACCCAATGTATTTTTAAAAGGGCATTATTGAACCAATAATGTACATGCATATTATAAGTATGTATATATAAGAACACTTATTCAAACATGCATGATGAGGATTAACAGCTCTTTTGGAACCATGCAGCCAAATACATATAGATTTGGTGACTTATAAAATGAAAATTAAAACCTTTATGGAAACCTCATCAGCTGAGTTTATTGAACAGAAAGCCTGATCTTAACCAGTGAGGACTGGGTGAAACTGCCATTGGCTTTAATGACTCAGCAGCTCTAAGTATCATACCTGGACTCAGTGACCTTTGAAGAAGCAGATTTTTAAAAAAAAATAAAGGAATACAGTGACCCACAATGCACAGCTACAGCAGTACTTTGTGTACAGCAAAGAACAGTAATTGGCAACAAGTAGTTAGCTGAACTTGACATTGGGGGAAAGTGACTTTTCAGAGGCAAGTGACAGAATGGACAAGCTCTGATGCTGCTTGCCTGCTCCTATAGTAAGTATCAAGGCTGAAGTAACCTCCTCAGGTTTTGCACTGCTTTATGAAGGCTAGAGTCAATGGCTGGTGAAGAGAAGTAGATCCATTATCTTTGCTCCTGCCTGTCTCCTTCTGACCCTCAAAGAATAGTTGTTCACAACTGTGTAGGGAGCTTGTGTGAATCATAGAACACTAGAACTGGAAGGGACCTCGAGAGGTGATCGAGTCCAGTCCCCTACCCTCATGGCAGGACCAAGCACCAATTAGATCATCCCTGATAGATGTCTATCCAAACTGCTCTTAAATATCTCCAGTGATGGAGATTCCACAACCTCTCTAGGCAATTTACTTCAGTGTTTAACCACCCTGACAGTTAGAAGTTTTTCCTAAACCTCCCTTGCTGCAATTTAAGCCCATTGCTCCTTGTCCTATCATCAGAGTCCAAGGAGAACAATTTTTCTCCCTCCTTCTTGAAACAACCTTTTAGATACTTTAAAACTGCTACCATGTCCCCCTCAGTCTTCTCTTTTCTAAACTAAACAAGCCCAATTCTTTCCGTCTTCTCTCATAGTTCATGTTTTCTAGGCTGTAATGGGGCAGAGAGGCCCCACACTGGAGGGCAGAGAGTAGCCCAGGCCCAGCTGGCTGAGAAGGCCCTGCCCATCCAGTCCTGCTGGGCATGCTCCCAGCGGAAACAGCATAAAAGCGGAGGGAGCCCTGGAGTTAGGGGAGGCAGCGGGGGAAAGAGGAGGTCCGTCCGCACCTACTTCAGTATTTCTGCAACAGCTGATGCTGCCCTCCCAGCTGCAGCTGGGCCAGCAGCCACAGCCACCACCACAGCCAGAGCCGCAGCCCACAGCTGACCCAGGATCAACGCCAACAGTCACTACTGCCTGGGGGAAAAGCGCCCACAACCCCAGCGCCAGCCTCAGCCAAGGACTGGCCCCGGAGGCAAGTAGACCACAGGGGCACCAGGGCGTGGTAGGAAGCAGCCCAGGGCAAAGGACTAACCAAGGGGCTTGATGTGTAGCGGCAAGAATCCTCACCGAGCAGGCAAGACCGATTGTCTCTGCCTATAGGGCCGTGGGCTGGGACCTGGGAGGGGGGGGGTCCGGGTCCCTCTACCACCCTTTTTCCTTCCCTGGACTAATCACCCCCTGGCCAGGAAAGGCTTCCCGGCAATTAGGCCTCCAGGGCTGAATATGCCCTAATAGAGGAACGTGTACTTTGGAGTCCGGCCTCAAGTGCCATATATGACCTAATAGAGGGACACATACTTTTGAAGTTGGGCCTCAGGGGCTGTAGAGACCCTCGTAGAGAGCCATAGACACCTGATGGAGGGGCCAATGCATGGGGACAGTAACTGCTGAGGCAGTCCCAACGCTAAGGGGGTAAACACCCCCTACATAGGCCTTTAATAATTTTTGTTGCTCTTCTCTGGATGTTCTCCAATTTTTCCACGTCTTTCTTGAAATGTGGTGCCCAGAACTAGACACAATACTCCAACAGAGTGAGGCCTAATCAGTGCAGAGTAGAGCAGAAGAATGACTTCTAATATCTTGCTCACAACACTCTTGTTATTGCAGCCCAGAATTATGTTTGCTTTTTTTCCAAGTGTCATACTGTTGACTCACATTTAGCTTGTGGTCAACTATGACCCCCAGATCCCTTTCTGCAGAACTCCTTCCTGGACAATCACTTCCAATTCACTATGTATGAAATGGATTGTTCCTTTCTAAATGGAGTACTTTGCATTTATCCTTTAAAAACTTCAGCCCATTTACCTCAGAGACCATTTCTTTAGTTTGTCCAGATCATTTTGAGTTATGAGCCTAACCTCCAAAGCACTTGCAATTCCTCCCAGTTTGGTATCATTTGCAACTTAATAATTGTATTTCCACTTGTTATGACCTTCCAGCATGATTGTGAACTATCTCAGAGAATGGTTATCCAACCAGTTATGCACCCACCTTACACTAGCCCTATCTAGGTTGTATTTCCCTAGTTTATTGATAAGAAGGTCATGAGAGACCGTATCAAATGCTTTACTAAAGTCTAGGTATACTATGTCCATTTCTTCTCCCTTATCCACAAGACTGGTTATCCTATCAAAGAAAGCTATCAGATTGGTTTGACATGATTTGTTCTTTACAAATCCATGCTGTCTGTTACTTATCACCTTATTATCTGCCAGTTGTTTGCAGATGAATTCCTTAATTACTTGCTCCATTATCTTCCCTGGCACAGAAGTTAAACTGACTGGTCTGTAGTTTCCTGGGTTGTTCTTATTTCTCTTTTTATAGATGGGCACTATATTTGCCCTTTTCCAATCATCTGGCTTCTCTCCTGACTTCCATGACTTGAATATTCTAGGATGCATTTCATCAGGCTCTGGTGACTTGAAGACATCTAACTTGTCTAAGTAATTTTTAACTTGTTCTTTTTTTATTTTAATTTCTAAACTTACCCCATTTCCACTAGCATTCATTATAATGATGGACTCCACCTACATCATTATTCTTGTACATAGAGCTGTGGGATTCCACTGCAAACAGGGCCTGCTATATCCCAAGAAGATGGGAAAGAATTTAGGGCTATCTATTTTTATTACGGCAAGTATATCTAGTGAGTGTTTGAGAGGCAAGTTACATAAATATGGGTAAAATTAAATACTTAAAAATGCAGAATGACACAAAAATGGGATATATCACTATATAATATGAATATGCATGTACTTGATCAGATAATACTTTGCTTGCTTTCCCCACAGGAATTGGTTTAAAGAGTGTCTTTTATTTTTCCTGACCTTCACAATCAGTAATGATCGATCGGAGCTTTACTTTTGTTTCCTAAAAATCAAAGTGGAATAAAATGCCTTGAGTGGAAATCAAAAGTCTTTGACATATAGCAAAAAGCTTGCTGTGCAATATTAGTACCCAAAGGCAGCTCAAAATTCTTTGTTAAGAGCCACATGCTTTCACCTTGAACTTTATAAATTTAATCTGAAGATTTAATTCATAGCAATCTTTCCCATGCAGATACAATAAAACTAATGTATTGGAAAACATCTTTCATATTCAGTTGTGTGTACCTGAACATTTGATTATGCTTGAGGCAGTAGTAAGCTAGCACCTCTTCAGAAGGCCAGATACCTGTAAAACAGAAAGATATTTGCTTTTTTAGAATAGATATTTTTTCTTCTGAAAGGAGTCATTAATATTTAACAACTGTTTTTCGATCAATACCAAACTGATCTTTTACTAAATTTATTTTATTGTATTTTTAAAATATGGCACACTATCAGAGAATGAAAAAGAGACCAAGATTTACAACAGCAATTCTTCAAAGATAGCCAGCAAAAGATGTGATATGGACTTTGGCAAGGCTACTCCACAGCTATCTACTTGTTAAAAACTTAGGCACCAGCATCAAGATTATAAAAGTTAAATATAATCAGATTCTAAGAAACGTCACTTTTATACCATATATTTGACATTTTCAGCCATAGTAACTATTGGTAGACAACAAATTCATAGACTGATAGAGTTTAAGGCCAGAAGGAACCATAAAATCATCTAGTCTGAGCTCCTATATATCACAGGCCATTTGATTTCATTCAGTTCCCCCTGTATGGAACCAATAACTTGTTTGACTAAAGTGTATCTTCTAGAAAGGCATCCCAACTTGATCTGAAGACATCAAAAGATGAAGAATCCACCATTTCCCTGTTAGTCTACTCCAATAACTAATCATTCTCACTATTTAAAGGGTATACCTAATTTCTAATCTGAGTTTGTCTGACTTCAGATTCCAGTCACTGTTTCTTGTTATGCCTTTCTGCATTAGATTAAAGAGCCCTTTAGCACTATGTACTTCCTCCCCAGGAAGGCACTTATACACTGTTCTCAAGTCACCTTTCAATCTTCTTTTGCATAAGCTAAACAAATTGAGCTCTTTAAGTCTCTCACTGTAAAACATTTTTATCCAGTCCTTGAATCATGTTTTGCCTCTTTTCTGTACCTTCTCCATTTTTCAATTTCTCTTTTAAGGCATGGGCAGCACAAGTGGATGCAATATTTCAGTACTAGTCTTACCTAAGCCATATACGGAAGTAAAATCATTCACTACTTCCCTGTTTATATATCTAAAACAGATTACAGAATAACTTTCATCTGAATTATATTCAGTTATGAAACATGTCGTGACTCTGTGGCTAAATTATTTTTGTGCATTTTTTCCTCCATTATTGTTGGCAGTGAAAAAACACTCCTGTCTATCAATTTATTAGTCAAGGCATGGGCTCAAAGTCATAGCACAATAACTTTCCATGAGAGTGACCTGGCTTCAGGACCCTTGTTCCTGTTTAGAACTGAGAATGTCATAGATCATATATGCTTATTTTGTAGCTGTGGTCTACAGCTTGAAATGACTATTTTGAAATAACTCCTCTTTTTTTGAAATAACAAGCGAAGCTTCCACACTACCAAGCCAATTATTTCAAAATAAGGGACTAGTTATTTCAAAATAAAAACTCCTGCTTCCACAAGGAATAACGTTTATTTCAAATAGGTTATTTTGAAATAGCAGTAATGTGGACACTCCACTGCTGCTATTTCGAAATAACTACTCACCAGAGTCATTCAAAGTAATTATTCCCCAGTGCTTCCTGCAACTCTAAGTTGAGCTAGCACATCCACATTAAAGAAGCCTGCCTCGGATTAATTTGGAGACTTCCCTCTAGTGTGGACAAGTTATTTCAAAATAGTTATTTCAGGACTTACTATTTCAAAATAAATTATTTTGAAATAATGTCCTAGTGTAGACATGCCTGTACAGAGGCAAATGGGAAGAGGATGTTTATGACTAACTTTTGTGCAGTTCCACAGACCAGTAAAAGTAACTGCAATCTCAGAGGTCTCTAATGGAAGTCTATAATTCAGAGCTCCCATAAGCAAAGAAGTGGGGTCACACTGAAAAACAGGCAACCTGAAATTAAAATGTTAGAAAGGTAGAAAGTTTCTATTTCTGGATAGGACTTCCACAAAAGGCTTTCACTCTCAACAAATACCCAATCAACTCTAAGAACCAGTATTAAGATTATTCAACAAATAGCAATTAGTGATTTCTTCAATAGTGCAAAAACTTCTATTTTCTCATTTCAAAATTCCCTGAAACTAGAAAATGACCTGTAGAAGGAAACACCGTGAGTAATATCGCCATTACAAAATCCCAATAATTGTCCATGGCAAATGTCTTCATAGTTCGAAATAACCAGCAGTTACCATATGGTAATAGTTATATGGCTGCACACGCTATAGGGCAGTGGTGGGCAATTTGCTGCTCATGGGCTACATGTGGTCCATTAGGGTTCCAAGTGTGGCCCACAAAATATTTCCTTCACATTTCCCGTGCCCAGGGTTTCTGTCCGTGCAGTTTTTGTCCTACTGGCGTGTATCACTTCTTTAAAGTGATACACAGTTGTAGAAGATGTAGAAACCATTTTCATGTTTAGCTAGAAGCCATCTTGTATATCAGAAACCATTTCAGCTTTTCTCTCAAGCACGTAAACCAGAGTGAACTTTCTGTCACCCCGTGAGAAGAGGCCTACAGGATGGGCTATTGGTATGTGTTAATTGGGCTGGTTGGGACAGGAGATGTACTCCCTCGCACCTGTCCGCCATCTTGTTGATAAGGCTTTGTTTTTCCAAATTTAATTGAGGATTTCTGTAATTGGATGCCCTGACGTCAGACTGTTTGGTTAAGGGTATAAAGATACTAGGATTGATTGTATTAGCAGCCTTACTGGGTCTGGCTCTGCTGTGACCACGTTTGGCTCATGCTGTGCTTTATTAATTAATAAAGCTGTTTGTTAGCTGCCTAAACACAGAGGAGCGTGTTTTTGCTTCGACACATGTAAAGAAAAAACATGTGAAGTGATTGCATACGACACTGACTGTGAGAGCCGTGTGCTCCCTCTGCATCCAATCAAAGTGCTGCTGTGGTTTTATCAGCACACCGCATTTAGCAAAACTACCCAAAAGACCATTTTGTTTACCACAAGCTTGCGGCCCACTTTGATGAAGGAGGGCCACTCATGCAGCCCACTCACTAGCCTACGTTCCCATCATGCAATAGGGTCATCATATTCCACACATTTCATTACTTGCTGTAGTAATAGAACTTATGTGTCCCCAGTGGGCGAGATCCAATCACCAGAGTGCAGTGATACACATTTTTATTAGCCAATACTTTAGATACACCCAGACCAGGCAAAGCAGTACACCTCAGATACTGGAGAATGAAGATTTCAGAACCAACTATTGGATGCCAATTGTAATGATTGCATAGCTATGTGGACTTTAACATTGTCACAATTTTGCAGTGTTTATGCACTTTTGGTTATTAATAGCAATTGAACTCAGACCCTTCTAATAAAAAACCAAGGCTCCCACAACATAGATTATTTATTATTTATTACGACCAACAATGGGCTCAGTAACTGATAGGATACAAAGGAAAGCACAGTCCATGCCCTTTGCAGATTAACATATCAATAGATAACAAAGATTGGACATAAACCCACAATGACAAATCTACAAGATATACAACAATATACAGTGTTTCTTAGCTATGCCTCCCCATTAGCTATATTATCATTGAGGTTCAGATCCTTGATGGGCTGCAGTCAATAGAGAAACAGAATCACGTACATATCCAAATAAGTTTGATATTCCATCCACAGGAAGCAGGGATACATAATATGTTAAAACAGATTCAGATACCGGCAGGATAAACTCAGGTTTGTCTACACAGTACCACAGTGTGGACTGTGGGGTGTGAATTACAAAACACACCAAAGAGTTGTACCCTAATTGCCCTGTGTGTACACTGCTGATATGAATGGCCAGGTATCTAGCTCTCATGAATGTAATCCTCTTAAAAGAGAACAACCATAACATGAACTAGGTTCATGTCTGCAGCATTCATACTGGGCAGGTAATGCACAACTCTTTGGTGTGCTCTGCAATTCATACTCCCTCTAGTCCTCATCACACAACCCAGACTGATAAATTGAGTGTAACATTTACTATGTATGTGGATAATTTGCCAGTATGAGGAATAAATAAATACCTAGCAAGGATTTTAGGGTTTGACCCATAGTTCGTAAGCCATTTCTGAATTTAAAAAAATCAGATCTATAATATGTATTATTTTAATTAGTGTTGGTTCACATACCTAACCAGAGCACTGAAAGAATATAATTATTTGTACATTTATTTGTGGTTTAGATTTAAATGGTCTTTGGCAGTCTTCTATTTTCTAAGATACACCAGGATTATAATCACATAGTCATACACAAATACTCATTCCTCAGTAATACATACACTAAGGATGCTAGCAGATTTTCTCTGTCTTTTTTTAGCATCAAAATACGTGAAAATGACAGATTTTACAATAGAATGCTTCAGTTTCCATTCCAGCTGATAGGTGTGTACTCAAGCAACAACAGCGGTTTCTGTTGTTTAGTGAAGAAATGGTTAATTCAGAACCATTTCTAATACCTTCCAATCCACATTTAAAAAATGTTTGTAGCAAGCCTTGAATCTAACTGACTCTTAAAAATACATGGTTTTGTTGCAGATGGCCCTGAGTGTCTGAGCTTGTCGCCTATTGTCCAAAATCAAATGCTTCTTACTTTGATGTGGCTTTGATTGAAAGGGCAGCCTGGGTGAAGTCAAAGTATTCACCAAATCTTTTACTATTGAACATCAGTTCCTTCACCCTGCCACCACACAGTGTTAATACCCACTTCTTCTTGGCAGCAGCTGCTTGTACACCACTTACCCCATCACTGGGAGAAAGGAAACGTCATCTTCTGAAACAACAGTGCCACTCTATAACCAGCTGCTAGCAACACACACTGCACCTTTCTCCTCCCCCTTAGGACTGAAAATATCACTTCCATAATGATTTAAGATGCCGCCAGCTACAGAAGCAGGAGTCAAAAGGTCTCTCACAAACCCAGGTCTCAAGTTTGGAAGCACACTGTACTACCAACTAAGCCATCAAGCCAGCAGCAAGAATATCTTTGTTAATTTTAGTAAAAGGAAAAGTTTTTCTTGGTAGGAACAGGTAGGTAAGCCTCTTTGCT